TTTCGAAATCAAATTGACTAATTTGAAATACAAATGATGCTTTTTGGAGTACAAATGACAATTTGCAAATACAATTGACTATTTTTGAACTAAAATTGAAAAAGGTGTGGTATTTATATGTACAGATATTACTCATTTTGTAAAATTAATTTGAACAGAGCGTGATGAAATATTATGCGATTCATAAGTGTATGTGATTAACTGAAGATTATCAATAATATAGGTAACAACCATGCAGCGGTCGAAAAGTAGTTGCGGACGAAAAGTTACTGTCTGCGAACAAAAAGTACTTGCCTTCGAAAATAAACGGTTTTTCGTTCGGAAATTAGAACGTTTTGTAGAGGCTAAAGAAAAAGATAATTGTTCTTCTTAAACAGATAATTATGGATTCGGAAACTGTTGATTTTAGCTTGATTGAAGATGGTGTATTTTCCTAAGCAAATTAAACAATGAATTCGAAAAAATAAAAGTAATCGAAATTTCATCAGTGGCGTAAAAAATATGGTAGGAAAAGTTACCACAACCCAATGATGCGCACCACTGAATGAGATGTCCGGAATGACATTCTGGTAAAAAAAAATAACCAATTCAAAGATGAAACCATATACTGAATTTGAATGAAAAATATCAAATCATTCTAGAGTTATTGCGAGAAAACTATATTTATCTCCTAATTTCTACACCCTGTATTTCGAGTACTGAACACTTGAATACCATATCCTATCTCAGTACTCATGAAATCAGGAGAACTATCACCTGTCAAGCTTTTCGAATTATGAAACACCCTGTATATTGCCTAGAAAATCGTGATCGAAGTCATTGCACCATACAATTGAAGACAATCCAGCACCGTAATAGTTCACACCATAACCTTCACGATAAAATCAGTTATCGACATTCTAACAACTAACCAAGTCGTAACTTCTCATTCGCGACCCATTCAGAGTCAATCTATAATAGGTATGGACCATTGCAAATTGTGGAAGGAAACGCTTGGGTAATAGCATAAGTTAGTTTCGTTCAGTCGTTAACAATTAGCAAATCAAGTGGGTAATTTGCGGACTGTGTGTGACATTTTAGAATTGCATTATCAAAGGTTGCTTAAAAATATATCTTTAATTACAAAGAGAGAAACTCAAAGTCATTACCACAATAGTTGATAAAATAAACGAAAATGGTAGATAACGAGAGAAAAACAACTACTTTTCTGGCTATATGCCACGCAGGTCATTGTATTACATCCTTCCGAAATCTATGCAATAGTTCGTATGAACGAATAAAATCGAAAGTGTATCCTTCCTAAACGCCGAGCTGCGCTTAAGTGGGGTATAAATGCTGAGATGCGTTTCTGTTGGGTCAGGTTTGCACCAGATAGCGGTCAAGAAGCTATCTGGGACAGCCCTGCACTGATGAGAACCAACCGCCCAAAACCGGTCTGCTGGTAGTGACGCGTTCCTGAACCACTTATAATAATAATAATAATATGTTTTTATTGACAGAAGTGAAATATAGGACAATACAATTTTCAATAGAAATGTCTGCCAATGGGTAACAAGATTGGATAACTCCATTCTTACTCTTGCACCAAGAAAAAAGAAAAATATTCATATATACATACACTATAATTCAAATACGACAAACACAGGAATATATTGAATCAGGATATTAATTGTAGAAGAACACATATTGTAGATTAACATACGGTAATTAATATAGAATTGGAACATATTTGACATGCAACTATTATTTTTCCACTTCGCATACACTCAATTTATTTTAGGTGAAAACTAAACATGAAATATATAATTAAAAAAAAAAAACAAAAAAGGTTGAAAAGAAGAAAGAACACTCGCATGAGATAAACTTGGACATTGCATACTATATAGTTGTTTAAAAAGTTTTGTTTGAAACAATATCTTAAACTAGCCAAAGATTTTGCCTGGAGGAACAGCGGAAAGTCATTGTATAATTCAGCTAGCTTGTAAGTGAATAATCTTTTGAACTGTTCGGTGGAATGTCTAACAATGTGGATCCTTTTACGTCTGATATTGACATGATGCACGTCAGTCCGATATCTTATTTTGTTGTAGAGATAGGGTGGTGTATGGGTAGTGACAATTTTGTGATATAAAACTGAGGTATGGAGTGTACGCCTATCAGACATTTTCAACCATTTATGTTTTTTCAGTATAAATGAAACTGGATCCCGTTTTCTGATTCCGAAGGAAAATCTCATTCTGTTCATAAGTGTTCAGAAAATAATGGTAAACCACATGACATCAGTGATTGAAGGTTGACAATATCAGTGTGTCACAAAGAAGTAATTAATTTAGTTTTAGTGCTCAGGGCGTGTCTATGGGGATACAATATTTTCATTTCACCATATGCCTTTTGGATCAACAGTGATATGTGCTTTTTGAATTTGAGCTCACCATCTATTGTTACTCCTAAGTTTCTCACTTGATTCACAACAGGTAGTTCAACGTCGTCAATTTCAATACCCAAACCATCATCACCAACTCTCGACCTGGTTCCATGTCGTCCGAAGGCTATTACTGAACATTTGGCAATGTTGATATTAAGTGCATGTTTTTTCGAGATATCGACGAAATGGTTTAATTCAGGATTCATATCACTTATACTGTCTGATATTTCATTGAGTTTGAATGAGTGATACAATTGCGTATCGTCTGTATACATATGATATTTCAATTCATTCAAGCCAATGGATGATTGTGCGGTATAAATTGTGTAAAGTGTAGGCCCGAGAATTGACCCTTGTGGTACACCTGAAGTTAAGGTCTTAAGCGCAGCTCGACGTTTAGGAAGAAAACACTCGCAATTTTATACGTTCATACGAATTATTGCAAAGATTTTGGGAGGATCTAATACAATGTTCTGCGTGACATATAGTCAGGACAGTACTTGGTTTCCTCTTGTTATTCACCATTTTCGTTCATTCTATGAACTATTGTGGTAATGACTTTGAGTTTCTCTCTTCGTGAACATTCCATTCCACTTTGAGTATTCGGCGTTTTCCTAGTTGAGGATATCTTTAATTATTGTTCTCTAAATGCACAGTCAGCATATTCTCATATCGTCAACCTGAAGATATGTGCTTGTTCGTCTTTAGCACGACAAGATTTCCATTCTTTGCCAAGGGAAGTATTTCCAAGAACTAGAAGAAGAAAGTTTAAAAAAAAAAACAGTTCCTGTATATTGTGTATGATTAAATGATCTTCATCATACAGGGAGTGGAAAGAAAATTCTGAATTGAGAGAACCCAATCAAGATTCTGTGATAAGGTGTCTGAAAGCGAATCCTCAATGTATTTCTTTATATGTATCCATTATTCATCATCCATTTTTTCATTATTCATGTTCATGATCTCAGAATATTCCTTTTCAATAAGGTCCTACATTCTCCTCCTATTATCCAAGTGTTTGGGATCACACGTTGAAAAGTAATGCCCCCGTCATTCCTTGCTCGCACAAGACTTTCGAAGACTTCTGAGGGTTGCTCGTAAGAGGGCAACCGAATGACGGATAGAACAATTTTACAACAACAACAATTTAGATACATGAGAAACATGATTGACAATCACTCATCTGACTCTCTCATCACAAATGCTGGTTTTTACGGAAAAATTCAAATTATTCGAACTGCATATGCAAGTAATTGGTGATTTTTGAATCTACCTATAAACTTTGTTATTGCACCGGAATACAAAAATAATATGTCATTTTCGTCCCTAATGTATGTTCTAGATAGACATGTAAGTGGCCCATAGGGTTCTATTTGAAACAAATGAATTTTTGATCAACATGAGATGCGACTGAATTGATTCATCGATCAGTGACACAAAATTATTTTCAAAAAAAAATGTTTCTCTGTTATGTGCGACTCATTGCGAGGTGAAATAAAAAAAACAATTGAAATTTGAGAGGAAAAAAATTACATTTGACATACAGATTGCACTTGTTCTGACCTGCTGAACTCCAATATTTGAAAATTTACAGGGGCTTCATTAGAAAAAACAAAGTTTCTGGCATTTCCAGAAAAAGTTTGCCATATTGTATTGTAATGTGATAAAATCCGGGATGCCTTCCTATATATCTGTACCAAATTTCAGAAAAATCCGTACACGAATACAGAAGTTACAGGGGAGCCCCTTTACCCTGTGTCCCCGGTATTAAAAAAAAATAGCTGATACTTATTCATCTTCAACCAACTGACTCAACGTCTGTATCGTGAAGGGACCTGACCGAGGACCTGACCCTCTGTCAGAACAGTATTTTTGTTTTGAAAAGATTATCTTTTGAATCTAATATAGCCATGATTGAAGTTATGAAATGGAATTCAAAATATATTTTTCCGAAATTTCTTGAATATTTTCAACCCAAGTCTCGAAAATGATTGAAACACTCTATAGTCCGGAAATGCGAATCATTCAACTTTTGAATTGAAAACAGAATGCAAATTTTCAACTTCAGAAAATTTATTTTTCAACTTCTTATCGTGTGTGTTCAATAGATATAATTTGATGTTCGTCGTGGCATATAGCCAGGAAAGTAGTTATTTTCTGTTGAATAAACGGAGAAAGAATTGATATTTTCATCACATAGCGAATGCGAATTCTCAATGTATTTCTTTATATGTATATGTATCCATTTTTTCATTTTTTTATGTTCATAATTTATATGAAAAAATTCCTTTTCAAGTGATATCGATATACGACTATCTTTTTATTTTTATAATATCGTCGTACGACATCGAAATGCTTATCATTCAACCACTTTATGAGGATTATTTTATTCTCATTTGAGTTCTTTTTCACAGTTCAATGAAGGTAAATCTTTTTTCAATGGAGACTTTGATCCTAGTGAAAATGGAACCATGGTAACGCCTATTAAATCTAGAAATATTCCAAAGTCAACTTATACAATTTCATATAAGAGCTAATAGATATTTCTCACGGTGTGAGAATAATTGTTACTCACCATCATGATCAAACGATAAAACAGTCACTTAAAAAAAATCAAAACCGAACTATTTCCATCCACTTCATTTACATAGAATAGCTCAGGTTCAGATAACACACATGATAATGAAGGTGCCCGAATAATAATCGACAATCGCGCGAAGCACACTATGTCTATATCAGTGACATCAATTCATGCCCGCAGACCAAAAACAATTGATAACCCCCACAATGCCGTCACTGGTGCACCAACCATTACTGGACTTGCAAGACAGAATGCACTGAACGATTGAGAGGAACACTGCTGAAAAAAGTTATGTGGTGAAAGTTTGGATTGTGCAAATGCGAGGGTCACTGATTTTCGTGAAGCCCATTAATACTGTGTAGACGATTACTATTCGTTATATTGCCGGCTCTACCGTGCCCCAAAATTTGATCGAACATTAGTGTTATGAAATTACTGTTTTCACCAATATAGAAATGAAATATCTAGTGTGCGTAGCTAATTATATTCAATCTTTTTGAATTCAATCACTTGATAGCTTTTAGATAGATAGCTTTTATTCTTGTAATATTGGAATATTGCTAACATAATTTTTTTTCTCACCTAAGCCTAACTTGTATTGTGCACAGTCTATGAAAGGATTATTACTTTTGTTTACGTGTAGACGATTATCATTCGTTATGTTGCTGGCTACCGGGCCCCAAAATTTGATCGAACATCAGCGATATGAGAAATAAAATACCTAGTGTACCTAGCTGATAATATTCAATCTTTTTAAATTAAATCACTTGATAGCTAGCTTCTATTCAGATAATATTGTTAACAAAACAATCAAAGACAATCTTTTTGACGAGCGAATTTTGCATTTGTAAGCGAAGCGAAGCCGAGCGAAATCAAAATTTGCGAGTCAAACAAAGTCACTTTCGATGTGAATGAAACATGCTACTTTTTCTGCAACCGAAAGAATTGACTAAAATGAATATGTGATGTTAACACCAATGCCGTGCCATATGCATGCAATGCAACAAATAATTCGTGTGGTGGTAATATTCTACCTGCATTAACAGATTAGGTTTATTCTATTTTCAAGGATGTTCGAATTGTAGTTTCTATATAAATACAACCACAGAGTGACCCATTTGTGTATGTACCATCAGGTGTCAGCACTGATAGCAAATCATTCAAGCTACTGATCAAGGGTTATGTACAATTTTGATAATGTTAGACTTCAGTAGAGCGTTTGACACATTGAATTACGAACAATTGCTTGCTATATTACACTATATTGGTCTTTCTGAAAATACAGTTTCATTACTAGAGAGCTACCTCAGGAACAGACGACAGAAAGTACGACTTCAAGAAGAGTCAAACTATGTGGACCTCAAGTCTGGAGTCCCGCAAGGTTCTATTTTGGGCCCACTGCTTTTCAATATTGTCATCACACACATATTGAGGAGTTTAAAAGATTGTAAATTTCTTTTATATGCTGATGATATACCTAGCTGTATTACTCCTTTCCATACTCTGCGATAGATGATGCTTGTACCATGATTAATGAAGATCTATATAGGGTCTTCTATTGATATGGCGAGGGATCACTGTCTCATTATAAATGAAAGAAAATCTAACATAATTGCATTTGGTCCCAAGAAATACCAATCTATTATGAGGAATTCAGTTAATATCATCATAGAAGATACTCCTATGATTATTTTAGATGAAGCAAAGAGTCTTGGTGTTATTATCGACAGTTTTGTCCATGTTCAACTATGCGGATTGCCTTCATGGACCGAATTTAACCAGTCAATTCAAACAGAAAATACAGAAAGTACAGAACTCTTGTCTGCGTCTGATACATGGTATAAGGAAACTAGACAGAATATCTTATAAACTTAAAGAGTCTGGCTGGTTGAACATGGATGATAGAAGGCAACTGCACTCGTCCTGTCTCTATCATAAAATTATCATCACCAAATGTCCCCCCTACCTGTATAATAAATTCAGAACTGATACATACAATAAATAATGTACGGTTCAAAGGACTTCTAACGCCGCCTCAATTCAAAACTGATTTTTTCAAACGGTCGTTCAGTTACCAAATTTGCGATGTATACATGCAATAACTATATTCCTACACATATGAAATCCCTAAAATTGTCAAAATTCAAAAACAGTCTCAAGCTGAAGATGAGTGAAAATCAGATCTGAACAATTTCTGAGACCCTCCTCAGTGAAAAAATCTTATAATATCAAAAGGATGTTGTTTAAGTTAAGTTAACTCCAATCTGATTTTTGAGACCTTTGGAGGTTGAGTGGAAGAACAAGGCAATAGTAGGTTCACCTACTATATGAATTGAACTTCGTCTTTTATTTTCAGTCCATATTATCTACTTATAAAAAATGTATGTCAATATTGTACAGGGTGGCCAACTAAGACTGCAGAGTTTGATACCTCTGTTGTCTTGAGAGATACAAAAAAAAGTTTCGCATTCAAATTAAAGTGATAACCGAGCTTCACATCTCAAAATTCCTTTGAAATACACAGGGTGTTCCGTAAGGTCACAGTACATCAAAGCTATGTTTTTTTCATTGGAACACCCTATATTTTATTAAAGTTACTGACATATAGGGTGTGCAAAATCGAGATTTTCCAAGTTCAGGATTTTTCTCTGTCAAAACTGTTCATAATTCGTCAAAACGGTTTATATGTCCCTATCTCAACTTTTCACTCACTATCAATTGGTGTTCAATTGACATTTAATTGAAACAAATTATAAATTTTGATTTTTTGACCACCTTGTATCAATTTCAATTGAACACCAATTGATAGTGAGTGAAAAGTTGAGATAGGAACATGTGAACCGTTTTGACGAATAATGAACAGTTTCGACAGAAAAAAATCCTGCTTGGAAAATCTCGATTTTGCACACCCTATATGTCAGTAACTTTCACTGCTAGACCCTAAGTATGATGGGTCGTTGAAATCAGATCTTCAGGGAGAATTCAAAGATGAAATAAAATATAGGGTGTTCCGATGAAAAAAACATAGCTTTGATGTGCTGTGACCTTACAGAACGCCCTGTGTATTTCAAAGAAATTTTGAAATGTAAAGCTCGGTTATTACTTCAATTTTGATACATTAATTTTTTTTGTATCTCTCAAGACAACAGAGAAATCGAGCTCTGGAGTCTTAGTTGGCCACCCTGTACAGTACTGAAAATAATAAAGCCGTTTATTATTATTATTATTATTAAATACCGCGCCAGTGCCAGGTATAGGGAAAAGATGTGGAAAATTAGGTTAGTGAGCATATCGACAATAATAACAGCGATCATTTATTTTTCTGTATACTCCATTGTTCCTAATGTTTCTATTCGTGGTAGGAGTATGTACAGTTCCTCATGACTCACCCGCTGTATACAAGAAAGGAACAGGAACACCTATCGCAGACATTCTCAGCCGTGACTGCTAGGAAGAAAATGTCGATGGAGCTGAAGAACTGTACAAAAACCAGATCATGTAGTCCATCTCAAATAATGCTAAAGAACAACCCATCGAAGCAACCAAAGAAGATGGTGAACTTCAGATTCTCATTCTGTATACAGGGTGTTCCTTGAAGACATGCTAATATTCGAGGGGGTGATTCTCTGACTCATTTCAAGAAAAAAACTCCATATGATCGTATGTTCTAAAGTCTCAACTTTTGAGACACAGGGAGTTTTGAAAAATTTTCAGTTTTTTTATGATCACTAAGACAATCATCTCTTCGAAATTTGGTACACTTCTTTTATGCATCAAGTTGCATTATCTAATGTACACAAATCTCCATTTTCTCTACCAGTGGCACCGTTACGGGGAAATTATTGTTTATATTTTACTTAAAAGTTAGCAATGACGAAAAATTTTGAAATTTCATACAACATACATACTGTAGTAGTAGTAGTATTGTGGGGAGGCTGTAGCCAGGCAAGTAGGCCCCCATGGGCCATTTTTGCCAACCCCTGCTCTCCACATATCTACACATCCCTCTTTTAGTTGTCCTTTTCGAACCTTCCCGTCCTTCTGATGAAGGTCAGGATGTCCGTCCACTCTAATTCGACCAAATCTTCCTGTTGTAGTTTATCTACTCCAAAGATTTCAAATTTCATCCTTCCATACGCCTCATACTCTCCGAGGAAGTGAAGTGATGTCTCCTCATCTTCTCCGCATTCACGGCAAGTGGGACTATCTTCCACACCTATGAGTGATAGGTGTCTGGATAACCTGTTGTGCCCTGTCAGTATCCCTATAAGAAGGCGCAGAACTTGGCAATACCTGCCCAGTAACCAAGCCGTCTTTGGCTTGCTTGGATCGGTCAGCAGGTCTCTCGATTGCCTGCAGCCGCCTATACGCCTCCAATATACTTCTAGTGCCTCGTCCGCCCATTTGTTGAGGGCAGACGAAGTTTGGCTTCTTGTTATGTCCAGTGCAGGCTCCGGTCTCCAGAACGGTGTCGCGGATCCGATTCTAGCCAGCTCGTCGGCCACCTCGTTCCCGGGCACCCTCCTGTGCCTCGGAACCCATACTAGTTCGACTTCCTTCTGTTCAGCTAGTTTCTCAAGAGCATCGCCACATTCCTGCACCCAAAGCTGAGCTTGGTTCAGGATGGAAGATAGCCCTGAGAGCCGCCTGACTATCCGAGCAGATGTAAATCTTCTGCTCTGGTCCCTCTTTCACCTCTCGCCTCTCCGCTACTGCCAGAATGGCAAAGACCTCAGCCTGGAACACCCTAGAACACCCTGTATATCCAATGGTTCTCCCAAGAACCAAATTGAACTACCGGAAAATATGAGGCATTTCTTCAATTTCCGCGAAGAGTTCGCGTTCTATGGTGGGTTGGTCTACAAAGGAAAAAAATGGTTGTTTCAAAGTCAGAAGGTGTATTAATGCACGACCCAATTCAACCCGATTAACCCTAATTTAATTTAGCCGAAGAATCTGAATTGAGTGGTTCATACAGAACTTTATTCAGGAATTTACGCATGCGCATACAGTAACATTCAGCAGTATCATAAGTGTCATAATTATTTTGAAATCTTGAACTGTTCTGAGAAATGAAATGAAGGCAATGAAGGTTTCTAAGAAAACTACTGCTTTAATAGTGATAGCCTTTTTATTAGTCATTTATGATATGCATTTTCTGTTACAAGCTCATTTTTGAACGTTGCTTGTGTTTCATCGTACAATTGTTTGTATTGTTCAACTAAACTAA